GTCTGCTAGGTGTGGTGCTGTCAAGAAGGAGCTATGATTTCCCAGTATTATCAGATCCAGTAAAGAACTCAGTGAGAATAAAGGCTGTAGAACTAACCGCAACCAAGTCCTAGTGCTCCTTAGGCTGCAATAATGCCATCGCCCTATTGTCTTCTGGAGGGCAGGAAGTATTGGGCAGGAGGGAGAATGGAGGAGAAGCCCAATTGGGGTTATTATTTATATAGAATATAATTAAATTCTATAATTATATAGACTATATAGAATATATAAATTATATAGCATATAATTAAAAATTATTATTCTAAATAATTTTTTGCAATTATCTGAAAGGGAAAGGAATTGCAATAGCAGGGAATCAAATCCTCCTAACCTTTGCTTATCCGGAATTTCCTTCTTTACCTATTTTCTGAGAAGGAGGTTACCTCTTTCATGAAGTTTTGGTTTTCAGATTTTAGAATGGACTTCAATCTCTTTTTTGCTTCTATTGCTATTTGTAAGGTCAGCTACTACAGTCTCATAGCACTTTACTGTATTTATCTATTTAAAATGTTGTCTTCCCCAGCCAGACCCAGATCTTCTCTAAGAAAGGACTGAGTCCATTTATCTTTTCCTTCTCAATGCCTAAGAGTGCCTGGTACATAATGGAGCTTTGTAAATACTTGTTAAATGAAAAAATGAATGACTAAGTGAAAATGAATGAATAAATAAACACATTCCTAGACTCTGACTCTCTGTAGGCATCACTAAATTATGTTGCCTATCTGGCTCCTGGTAGCATTTGTGTTCTAGCCCCTGCTGTAGGTGATAATTAATTAAAATTAGGATCAGCTGGAGTGTTAGGAAATCCTGAAATAGCAGTGGCTTAATAAGAATCAAAGTTTCTTTCTTTCTCATCGAAAGTCTGAAAGAAACAGCTAGGGTTTGCATGGTGTTCCATGGTTTGTTTCTATCTTGCTGTGCATGACCTCCACTGCTAAGGTCTTTTGTGGTCCAAGATGATTACTCCAGCTCCAGCCATCACATCTGTATTCCATCCTGCAGAAAGGAAGAAAGAAGGTAAAGAGCACATTATCACTCTTTAAGGACACTGTTTAAAGTTGCACATTCCATTTCTATGTAAATCCCATTGATTGTAACAGGATGAAGTCACATAGTCACACCTTGCTCAGAAGAGGTTGGAAGATACAGTTTTTGTTGTTAATAACCACCGAAAATGTGGGAGTTTTATTACCATTGAAGAATGGTGATTGAAGAACAATACACAATGTCTGCTATAGTAACCACTTATGGTTTTTTCTCTGTTTTTTGGCAAGAGAGTGGACGGATGAAATCAATAGTATAGAAAGATCAATATGGTGGCTGGAAGGAATAAGACATTAGAGAAAGAAGATATTGGAGTCAAGCAGACCAGTAGGAGGCAGTTTCACAAAAGTCTAGATAGATGAGATGAAATAGGACAGTAGCAGATAGGACGGGAGGGTAGATGCAGATTGGTAAAGCAGTTTGGTAGTGAACTAGTCAATGCCATGTGAATATCACTGGGGTGAGGAAAAAGAAGGAGTCTAGAATTAGGCTCCCTTTGTGATTGGTGCCCTCTGAAATGGAGCTGTCACTGATTGATTTGGGGAATTTCAGGAAGACCTCAGCAGGTGAGGTAGAGATGAGTTACTGAGAGCAATGACTTTGATTTGGGACGCTTAAAGAGCTGAGCACTGACTGATTCAGGTAATCCCTAGAGATCTAGGTAACTCCCTAGAGTTTCCCAGAGTGCATCCCCAGAAGGAAACTCTAGGGGTTATTTGGATCAGTCAGTAAGAATGGACAGTTAGTCCAGTTGGAATGAGTATAGTGGAGTAGGAAACACAGTTGGAGGGTGAGGGTAGGGTCATCTTCCTGTCTTCTCTCTGGTACTCATGGTCATTGCCCTGTTAGAAGGGCCCCCATTGTCGTAGGGGCTACCGACCAATTCTCAGAAGAGTTTGAAGACAGAAGTGATTTCAAATTCTCGCTAATTAAAATGGAGGCTATCAGCATGTGCCTGAAGTCCTGCTGCTGCAGAGGAAGTAGGGAGGGGTTCTCAAATCCACAGCCAAGCCTCTAGGCATCATCCTGACTCCAGGGGGAGGTGCTGGGAAGCTGGGGAGGGGCAGCCACGTGCCAGCTGGCTGTGCCAAGTGAGGGAGCCACACGCCTGGGGTTCTGCCATGTGTTTGTTTATTTGGTTTGGCTGATGTAAAACATACACACACAGACTCACAGCCTTAGGGCCTGTGTGCAGAGCCCATGTTTAATCCTCAACTAAAATCAGGAACAGTGCAGGAAAAAAGAAGGAAGCCAAAATAGCAGAATACAACCAGGTAGCAGAGTTTGTTCATTCATTCATTCATTTATTCATTCACTCATTTAGCAAACGAATACCAGGCAGTATGCAAGGCACTGGGGCAATAACATGAATACAACATTTCCCCAAGGAGCTCCAAGACAGGGTCTGGGAACAGAGACAAGGGAAGAGGTCATTTTAGTACAAAGTGAAAGGTGCATGATACAGATTTATAGCTCTAATCTGGTCATTTCCTGGCTCAAAATCCGACAGGGCTCCCCTCATATCTAAGAGGCTTTCATAGGCACGATAATGACACCCTTAAGCCTTCACCCATGCTCCAAGTTCAGGGGAATTCAAGCAGCTCCAGGATCATGCTGCCTCTCACATCTCCTGACCTGCTCACGCTCTGTTTCTCCTGCTTGTTAGGGCCTTCTTTCTTCTGATCTTTGTTGCTTCCCACTCAGCCTTGAAGGTCAAGTGTCATCATCTCCTAGTGACCATCCTCTGAGTCCTCACTACATGCCCTGCAGCCTTTATTGCTGGCACTGCTCAACTGCTACTTTCACCTGCCCATCTCCCCTGTGGCCTGTGAGCAACTCCAGCAGAGATGGATCTTGTCCACGTGTGTATCCTGGCAGCTAATCGATGCCTGGCACAGAAACACTCTTAATAAATGCCTGTCCAAATGAACGGACATAATTTAGTGCCACTATGGATAGCCTCAATGTGCCATAATTAAAATACACTTGGATTCTGGAGTCAAACCCTGAGCTCTGTCACCTCCACCTTATCGTTCCCTTCTCTGAGCCTCAGTTTTCTTATTCTTCAGCTTAAGCTGATAATATTTCTGAGTATGTCTTACATGAAAATGCTTTCTTTGGTGTGTGTTCACCTTTCTTTCTTTAATGGGATAAACATGGAGCATTTATTTATTACTTTTATGATTATCCTCCTAAGAAAAAGACAAGGCCCTGCTCTGAGGAGTGAAGACACAATCCAGCAGGCAGGAGGGATGGCTAAGTTCAGTCTTGAGAATTGCCCCTCATGGACACCCCAGGGTGCCCATCTCCAGGTTACCACCAGGTAATATGGCCTTTCGGGTCATTACAACGATGCATTTGATAATATGAAAGAGTGAAAACATTCTATTCATCAAGTTTGCTTTCTTGACATGTAACATTTAAATATTTAGATGTATGGTGCTTGAGTCTCTAGTTAGCTTGGGCTGCGTTTTAGTAAGTTTTGGCTGCCACAACAAAATATCATAGATGGAGTAATTTATAAACAATACAAATTTATTCCTCATGGTTCTGGAGGCTATGAAGTTTAAGATCAAGGTGCTGGCTAATTTGGTTTTTGGCGAGAGCTCTCCTTGCTGTGGCCACACTTTTGCAGTGTCCTCACATGGCAGGGGGCAAGAGGGGAGTCTCTTTTTACAAGGATGCTAATCCCAACATGAGGGATGCATCCTCATAACCTAATTACCTCCCAAAAGCCCTGCTTCCAAATGCCATCACATTAGGGATTAAGGAATAAACATATGACTTCTGGGGAACACAGCTTAGTCTGCAGCAGCCTGCCTTGGTATCCTTGCTCTAGGTGCCATAAACGTTAGGGATGGGCCTTGGATGATGGAAGTGCAGGGGAGTTAGCTTCCCATCGGGGGCATCCCTCGGACCAGTGAGAAAAGGGAAAGGGAAAAAGAAGGAGCCAAATGCATAAATACCCAGTTAAAAGAAAAAACTTTAGACAAATTAAACTTTACACAGTTTAATTGGGCAAAGAACGATTTGCGAATCGGCCAGCCCCCAGAACCAGAATAGGTTCAGAGCTACTCCACATGGTCGAATATTTATGGACAGAAAAAGGAAAGTGACCTAGCAAAACCAGAAGTGAGGTACAGAAACAGCTGGATTGGTTACAGCTGGGCCTTTGCCTTATTTGAACCTGCTTTGAACAGTCAGCTGCCTGCGGTTGGCTGAGACTCTGGTACTTGTTACAAGAGTAGGTTACAGTCTGTTTACACATTAAGTTAGTTTATGGTTCACTGTGTATGGAGAAACCTTTAGGCCAAACTTATAATATGTATGGAGGCAGCTGTAAGGAAACTTAGTTCAGCAGCTCCTTCCCTTCTCTCCCCTTCCCTTCTCCATTACCCTTAGAGGTGGTTTCTCCTTGCAAATGATCTAGAGGAATTCCAAGTTCTGCAACTTACCTACCCAGCAAGCTGCTGTATCTCAGAAAGGATCATGGGGAGGTGGTGGCCAGCTGCTGTGCATCACATTGCATCTTTTCTTGCCTCATTTCCCTTTTCAATTCATTCTCACCCTGGGCCTCACCCTCAAGGCCCTGGTTTTGCTTCTCCTAAATGTCAACACTTTAACCTTGGACTTTGCTTTCTAGAGGACTGAGAGTGAAGAAACTGCTTCTGTCACTCACTTGCTAGTAATGACTTTAAAGCAGGTTACTTGACCTCTTGTGCCTCAGTTTTCCCCTCTGTAAAACAGTGATAAATGATAATATCTCCCATAGAGAGTTTCTGTGAAGAGAAGACTAAATGAGTTATTAATATGTAAATTTACTGCCCCATAACTGTCAGGTTTTATAATTCTTCTTTCTTCAAGGATATTGTATTAGTTTGCTCAAGGCTGCCATAACAAACTACAGACTAGGTGGCTTAAACAACAGGAATTTATTTTCGCATAATTTTGGAGACTGGAAGTCCAAGGTCAAGGTGTTGACAGGGTTGGTTTCTTCTGAGGCCTCGCTCCTTGGCTTGCAGCTGGCTGTCTTCTCGCCATGTCTTCACATGGTCTTTTCTTGGTGTATCCCCATTCCCGGTCCCTCTTTTCCTCTTCAAATTTCCTCTTCCTGTAAGGACACCAGTCAGATTGGAATAGAGCCCACCCTGAGGGCCTCCTTTTAACTTAATCACCTCTTTCAAAGCCCCATCTTTGAATACAGTCACATTCTAAAGTACTGAGTCTTCAACATATGAGTGTCGGAGGGACACCATTATAGCCCGGGACAGACACTCGTTAAGTGCTACCTCTGTGTAGGGTGACCAACTCAACCTCAACCAGGTTTGCCTTGGATTTTCTTGGTTTTAGTACAGAAATTCCGGCATCCCAAGGAATCCCTCAGTCCTGGGTAAGCCAGGAAGATTGGTCAGCCTAACCTCTTCCAGAAGCTTTACCCAAGTCTTTTGCAATATGTAAGGACTAGAGGAACTCAATATGTATCTAGAACTCCATCCTTCCCAGTGGACTTTGACAGCCATAACTTGCTTAATCCTCACTTCAGCCTCGTGAGGTAGGTGGGGAAAGAAACAATATTCCAGTTACATAAAGGAAGAAATAGGCTCAGAAAGATTCATCTTGGCTCCCTTGGTCCTGTTTATCTTTCTCTGGGTTCTTTCATTACTAGGTGCTTCCAAGACCAAGATAACCAGGCAATCATAGTAGATGCATCAGTACATCTTTGCCCAAGGGCCTAGACAAGAGGTAAGTAACCATGATGTATCAGTGAGTGAGTCCTGAAATTTCTCTTGTGCAATTTGAATTAAACAAATTACACAGATAATCAAACCTGTACTACTTGGGTAGCAGTGATAGGTGGGCCACAGCCTGGGCCTTAGAGCAAATGCCTCTGGCTGGAAAACTGAAGAGTGGGAGGGAAGCAGGGAGAGATGCAGGCTATGTTTGAGGATCTGCTCTGAAAGGCAGGGAGGGAAGCCATTGATTAGTGAGCTTTGTTTGATCTGCTCAAGGATCAAAGGGACAAATACCATGTGGGAAGATAAAAGTTGACCTGGAAACCCTGTGTCCCAGCCTGCTGGGATCCAGTCTGCCTTAGGCCCATGGCTCAGGCTGGAAGACTCTCATAGGAACCACGGGCAAGACTGCAAGCTCACTTTTTCCTCAATCTGACCCCTGACCCCTCCCTTACCCATTGCCTTTAAGAAGAGCTTTCTCCTATCTCTTGGGCACTCTGTGGGGCAAGGGGTGCTCAAGGGTAAAAGGGGGCCCAGAGATCAAGCATTATTTCTGGCCTTTGAAGAATATGGAGAAGTCACCAGATGATATGTGATGAATGCTGTGATTAAGCTGGGCTTGGAATACTGAAGGTATACCACTGAGAAATCCCTAAACCTACCCTGTGGGGCACAGAGGAAGGCAGCCCAGCATATGTCTCAGGGAATAAATTGATAGAGGAGATGATTTCTGGTTTTCCTTTGGGAGGAGGGAGAGGAAGAGCACATACACAAAGCTAAGGAGGTGATTAACAACATAGTACAGTAAGGACAAGCCAATATTAACTGAATTTCTAATCTGTGCCAGGACCTCCATCATCTCATGGAATCCCAATGGCATTAAATGAAGCAGCCTTGGGATTCTTCCATTTCATAATGGAATGAGAGAAATGAGGCTCACAGAGGTTTGATAACTTGCCTGAGGTCGTACAATTGACATACAGCAGAGCCGGAATGTGAACACAGATCTGCCTACTTGAAAACCTGGCTTCTCACCCATAAAGGTGTGGTTATATCCATGTTTTCGAAAGTTCCCTCTGGTTGCTGGGGGTAGACTGCAGGAGCTAGAAGTAGTGTCTGAGGAACCAGTTAGGACTGTATTGCAATAGTTTCAGATAGCTGGTATAGTTTCCTAACCCACAAGATCAGGTGTGCAAAACTGAAGCGAATTTTATATAAACTTGAACCCAAGTCCAGAGTTGACAGATATTTAATCTTAGTTCAGGGATTTCTCCATCTCTTCCTTCTCCTTGTTGTAGCATCTAAGTTCCACATGAGGAAGGGATTGTATAGCATCAAGTCATGGAATGAGGATGAATGAGAGTTACAGTTGGGGGTTGGCAAGGGCTATCATCTATTCACACTTTGACATCCAGGGCCTTCCTGGTCACTTTTTCACTAAGATCATCATGTGACCTTTTCATTTTCTAGACAGGGAGATCTAGACACTACTTTTTTGAGGACTCTCCAGCTATGCTTTTTGGGGAATACAATGGGTCTGAATTAGATCCTAAACCTAGATGTCTGAAGCAACTACACCTAACCTTACTGTTCTGTTCCCTGATAGCTAACAGGAGAATTCTGGAGGTTGCCATCTTTCCAGGCAGAAGATGGGCAGGGGAGCACAGGCTCTCTGTGTCCTCAGATCCTTGAAATAAAAGGAAGAACTATTTTCTGCTTCCCACCCTTGGGCTCAGACTAGGCATGCAGGACACAGAGACCCCTCTCAGGGGTCCAAACAGGTATTCACTTAATTAATCTTCTGACTATCTGCCAATTCTACCAGCTCTTTAAACGTTATGCTTTCTGTAAGTATTCTTTCTAGTCTATTGTTTAGGCTAGGATTTTGGCTGCTGCATCCGTAATTAATTTGCTCTTTGTATTTCTGTTATAGCTACCTTTCTCTGAGGCAATGGATGCTCAGGCTTTATGTTCTAGTTTTAATGGAGGAAAGACCATGGATGTGTAGAAATAATAATGGGAACAAAAGCACTGGAGTTAATGTTTCAAATTACTATTCTGTTATACATACAGGATATCTGAAGGTCTGGATCATGGCAGTGGCAGTAGGGGAGGCAATGAGGGAGTAGATTAGAGAGAGCTTTGAGGATCAGAATCCAAATGTTTTGGCGATTGGTAAAGTCTGGAGGATAAAGAAGAGAGATGTTTTCTGTATCTCTTTCAGGTGTTGTTTAGCTTCACATGAATTTTATCACCTTGCCTAGAATCAGCCACCATCTAACAGGGTAGGCTGTGGCTGGGCCATATCATGTAGAACCGAATCAAGGGTACCAAATTATTGTGGACTTACCCAGTATCTGGCCTCCTTTTGTTATTTACTTAGGCCCCTGACTTTTTCTGAAATTACTAGACACTAAAACCTGCTGGGGAATTTCATGTAAATCAAGATGACTCAACCCAGAGTCCATTTCAAGGCTAGGATGCTAGAGGACCCCAACAATGGAGTAGGGAACTGAAACAGATCAGCTCACATCCAAGTCCTTGCATGATCAATCCTGTAGTAGGACTACTGCTCAGTTGGAACTCGTGACAGCCTGGAAGAGGAAAAGACAGCTCTAAGTATAGCAAGGAAACTGTTATGGAAAAGACCCAAATGTTAAAATGGTGGACATAGTAAAGTGTTTGTTCTACTTAGGGGAATCTAGATCCCCACATTTGGACCTCCACTGGAATCTCAGAAGAACAAGTGCCCGGGGGGCTTGTCACAGAGGCCAAGGTGGTGAATATCAGGCACATTACAGTCCCCAAGATGGGGAGAAGACTGAGATACAGAGTAACAACTGAAATCCATTCACGGGAGCCATGTTTATCTTAAATCATTGACAGTGAGATGAGGATCATATCAGCCTTCATACCTTTGATGATGATCCCAGGCTGCAACAGTGACACATAGAACTGGATTCAGTAACTAACTACAAATTCCATCAACCAGGGCTAGTAAAGTGAAAGACAGAAATTGGGAGGAGGGGCTTCTTTCTTGCTTATAAAACTTATTTGGTTGTGTTGAGTATGTGCATGTATGTATGAAATCCCATAAAGCAGTCTTCTTAGGAACAAACCAGCATGCCACAAAGTAGGAGATCTTTGGAGCACTGGCCTAAAAAGGCAGAGAGCTCAAGGTACTCTGCTTTGTACATGGCATGATTTGTACCACCACCACTATCCCTATTTCAGAGCACTGTTGAATTGTTCCAAGCCCGGATTTCTATGTCAGTTACTTGTCTATAGGGCTTGACTAATAAAAGCTAGTTTCTGAAATCTGCTTTGGTTCTGGAATTTATTAGAGGGCTTTTTCTTCTCATTTTATTACTTGTTTTTATTGTCATTGGTATATTCTCTTTTATAGTGAAAACATTCACAGGCTGATTGAAGAGAAGATCTGAAATTATTAGGCAGCAAGCATACAAAGCCACTGCTTTATAAAGATAGTATCTTAAAGGCCTAATGTCTATAGTTTAACATAGCCTGGAGATGTTGGCTAAATCTTCCATCATGGAGTCCTCATGGGATCTGGAAGTCCTGTTTGAATTACTGATTTATCTTCCTTCAGGCCCAGTAAGTTGGTTTTCCACAGCTATAGGTTCCACAACCAACCCTGGATCGAAAACATTTGAAAAAATAATAATATAACAATAAATAATAATACACATAAAAAGACAATACAACTATTTACATAGCATTTGCATTGTATTAGGTATTATAAGTAATCTAGAGGTGATTCAAAGTATATGAGAGAATGTGTGGGAGTTATATGCAAATACTATACCATTTTATATAAGGAACTTGAGTATGAACAAATTTCAGTGTCTGCAAGGGGGCCTGGAACCAATTTGCCATGGATGCCATTACACAAAGACTAATTAGGAACTTTTGCATGGATATGGCACCCTTGGCTATTTAGAAGTGCCTTTGAGGTTGGTAGAGTACATTATTAACTTTTAACAAAAACCTCTTGAGGTAGATAGGGTGTATGGTAGTATCATTTTTATTTAACATAGAACAGTGAGGTCAAAGAGGACCAATGTTGCGTGCTGCAGGCCATGTCATTAGTCTCATCCATTTGTTCATTCATTTATCTCAAATATTATTGCTTGCCTAGCCTACCATGTTCCAGGCTCTGGGCTTGGTACTTACTATGATGAAAGAAACAAGATCCAGTACTGAGCTCAGCTGCTCACAGTCCAGTGAAGGATACAGACACACAAAAGAACATTATAAACCAATTAATTTATTCAACAAATATTTATTGAGATCTTACTCGATGTCTGGTACTGAGAACACAGCAACAAGTAGGTCAAAGTCTATGCTCTCCTTTTTGGGAGACACAGATAATAAATGATTATGTAATATGTTAGGTGGTGGTAAGTCCTATGAAGAAATGTCAGGTAGGAAAGGGGACAGAGTGTGGCAGGTGTGGAACTGTGGCATTTTAGATAAGCCAGAGAAGGCCTCTCAGATAAGGTGGCGTTTGGGAGAGAATCAAGTGCAAAGATCCTGAGGCAGGAGCGGGCCTTGTGTGTTGAAGGAACAGCAGGAAAGGCAGTGGGCCTGGAGGGGAACGAATGAAGGAGGACAAAGGAGCAGATGAAGGCATAGAAGGAGAAGAGGGCCAGGTCATGGAAAGTGGAGGTCCAGCAGGCATGGTAAGGACTTTGGATATTTTTCAAAAAAGATAGGAAGCCACAAAAAGATTTTGAGCGAAGAATTGACATGACTAAATGATGTTTTGACAGGGTTACCCTGTAACTGTGCTGTGAATAGACTGTGAAGGTCAGGAGCAGAAGTAGAGCAGCCAGTTTGGAGATTGTTGCAAATGGGCCAGGGGAGAGGTCATGGTGCCTGGTACCAGAGCGGTAGCCAAGGAGGCAATGAGAGATGAGATTAGGGATATTTCTGTGACACATTTACTGACGTTTGGGTATTGGCTGTGAGAAAAGGAGAGGAATACACAAAAACATGGGCACACTGAAGAAAGACGCTGCTGTTGGTCAAATTAGGTGGGAGACAGTTTCTAAGTCTTTTAAGGTTTGGGTGCAGGAGGTTTATTGGGGTACATTCTCAGAAACAACACCTTTGAAGGAGCGAATGCAGTCCAGAGAGGAAGAAGTTGTGCTGTGATACAGTCACAACAGAGGCTGCAGCTGATCCTACAGGAAGCTTG